TTCCAGTTTGAGATCTCTGTGAATAATGCCCTTATTATGTATGAATTCCAAAGCATTGGCAATGTCTTTTGCCCATCCGATCACGTTTTTTGCAGCAGAAGTTGTTGTAGAGAGACCAGGTACATTGTCCTGATTTCGGAAAATGTGCTTCATCAAGTTCTCCTTGCAGAGTTCCATGACAAGGATTGGTCTCGATTCGCCCTTCTCCTTCAGGAGTGTTGCGCCGTACATCTTCACAATGAAGGGATGATTCAGCTTCCTAAAAAAGGCACAATAAGAAATTGAGCTCCGAAAAAATTGTTTGCTGGTCGTCCCCGCTGTTTTGACAGTTCATCACCTCTACACATGACACCCGTCAAAACACCTTACGCAAATTAGTCTGAGAAAGTTCTCACACTCATAACGAACTAAAACTGGCGATCAAAGTTCGTGTCCTAGTATCGTCGAGGTGTTGCATAGGAATTCTTCGTACTTTCTTTCCATGCACACCGTCTAGTGTCCGACGTTCACTTCAGGAAGAACTCAGAGACTTGTCAAATTGGTATTCATAACATGACATTCAGTTTCTCCAGCTCCTTTTGCACGAAAGTAAACGCTAATTTACTGAGTCATTTAAACGATGTCTGCAATCCCAGACACGGGAGGTAAGCGAACCAATCTGAGGCATTACCCTACCAATTTAAGATTAGGCGATTGGTCATAAAACATTAAGGAACTAACCGAAGAAGTTAAAAATCTAACCAATGACGTAAGGTAACCAATGTGAGGCCGATAAGATATAAGACTTCAAAAAGCCAACTTCCTGTAGACGTTAGAGAACCATAGTCTGGCGTTAAAAAGCATCATGGGAATCGACCTACCAGACTGCAAGGAATTAACCAACCATAATTTAGGGAATCGACCCACAGTTACTTGGTTCACTGAAGTCTCATGCTAGTTTGTTAACGTATCAAGTTGGTTCGCTCAAGTCTTAACTGAGTTCGCTCGCATGGTACGCTAAAAACTCAACTTAGGTTTGCAGGCTAACAACTCAAGTTAGGAGAGCTCAGAATTCAGGTTTGTACAGTAGCGAATTAGTTGGGCTCATCAACAACTTACAGATGAGTTCGCCAATACCTCAGATTTGTTCGCCTATAACTTATTTTTGTTTGGTAACAACCAGCCGAGATTGCTGAAAACTAAGTTTGGTTCGCTAACAAGTTAGGTTGGTTCAGTCACCAGCAAATTAGGATAAGTGAGTCTGCCTTGGTTAGCTACCTAGGTTAGCTCGGTGGCGTCTCAGGTTACTTCACTAACAACTTTAGGTGATTTCGCGAGCACCCTGAGTTGGTTGGTTTACAACTTTTGTTTACAACGCAGGTAAGTTCGCCCGCAATTCAGGTGGATTGGCTGACAACTTGAGTGAGCAGAAGTCGTAAATAACTTTAGCCCCCCATTTTATTTTGCTTTTAGTATGACGTACGTAGGAGGAGTGTATTTAAAAATTTTGTGGAGGAAATCGGCCCAAGATCCTCTACAAACTAGCGTCCCCGGCACTCGTATTCAAGCCTCATCAGTCGAATTAAAATAAGCTCCGCCGTCCCTTTCGCTAACATCTCGGGTGAGTTCGCCAGCGACTTAGGTGAGTGTTAAGTGCATGCTTAGTCAAGGCTATCATATTGTAAAGGTGAACCAAACATGACAATGAACAACAAAAAGAAAGAACTGTAAAACTACATATGAACAAAATAACAAGAATTCTATCATACAACATACTAATAGAAACTAACCTTAGGTTGTCTGTTTCAGAAAGGAAGTTTATTGCACTGCCACTAGTCAGTGCCTTTTTCCATACTTTCAGTGCTACGTCCACGGGCTTCTCTTCCTCAGGAAGCTTTAAGGTTCCTCGATGAACGGAAGCAAAAGAGCCACTTCCGAGAGGTGATCCTCGGTCGTCTTTCCATTCTAAGTCCTCGCAACTGATGTCCATGGTACCTACTTCTTTGATGCCAAAGTCGGCCATCTTTCCTCTTAAATCTGAAATTTTTATGTATAAGTCTCTAAGATCTTGCTGTAAACGTTTCTGCTGTATCAAGAGTTTTTCAGTTTTTAACTCTTCCTCGACGAGGGACATAACTTGTCGTTCGTCAGCCATCTTTGTGAGATATTCTTGAGAGGCCTCCGCCATGAACTTGCACTTGTCTTTCTTGTACTCTTTTGTTTTACTCCGATTTCCAAACCTTTCTTTGGCGGCTATGGTTCCAATTACCGGAGCACTGAACAAAAAAGCAACGAAACCGACAGGAACCCAGATGGGACTTGTGACTCCGATAATGACTGTTTCTGTCAAGCTTAAATTTCTTGAAGTCTGTGGACCGCTTGATGATGCCGATGAGCTGGCTACACTGTCCGCTTTGGGGGGGCTCTGAACATTCTGATTCTGTCGCTCAACACGTTCGAAAAACCGGAACAAGTCCTGTGTCAGTAAAGTGCGAGATTCTGAGAAAACATTGGTTTGTTTCTCCCACTCTTCGATCTTCTCCTGAAGTCGTTTCACTAATGCTTTTTTAATATTCTCCTCTGTTACGCTCCAATCACCCCCGACGTCTGGAACATTGTCTAATGACCACGAAGTAAAATATTGTTGAAGTTCTGGGGAGTTGAGGAATTTGAACAATTCCCGGGCAGCCGAGGCTTTGATTGTCGTGGTCAGCTCTTTGTCTACCGCGCCCTGCTGATCAGCCACAAACCTCATCACCTCTGAAATATCGCGTCGAATTACTTTGGTGCGATAGGCCATACGTGAAAGAAGGTGGTAAAGCCACCTGCAAAATAGTACATCACGAGTTAGCGCGAACAGCAGAAATTCAGCAAATGCCTGTTACTACAAACTAATTGTGTGAATCACCTTTTGACCTGTGGGTCAATTAACAAATAACCTATTCGAAATTATTCTCTGAAATTTCTTCAACTGCAGTTCATCCGAGGGGACCATTTCGTTCGAGATATCAACCGCAATCAAATTCCTCAACTGAGAACGACCCAGAGAAACCCCCTAAAATTGGTCCCTCCCAAACATGTGGCCTCGTTGCTCAGTTGATAGTGCAGGAAACACAGGTTCAATACCCTTCCGAGCATACATTTTCCTGTGTTTTCTTCGACTGCCAATTCTACAATGTGATTAATATCGGGGAAGGGCGGAACCCTCGCAAAGTTTGCTTGGTTTGAACCCCTAATGGACACTCAGAAAAGCCTTAAGCCAATCTTCAATTTCAGCTTTTATCAGTCTGAGACAACTTACCTCCATTGCTTCTCTAAGTTTGTTTCAATGCTTTTTAAAACCATGGATGAAATACGATTCATCAGTAAATCGCATGTAGGAGGAGCTTCCCATGCGTTGCTCTCATTGCTTGGTGAAAGGAAAATGATTTGTGACTCTGGGTCCTCACTGGGCCAACGCTCTGTGAGATGGTTTATAATGCAACTCTTAATCCTATAAGCCTCTTGTTGCAGTACTTGATCCCGCTTGGTGAAAACCAAAAGAGGGCAATTTGACGAAGATTTCAGTTGTTGGTACAGAAATGCACTGACCTGTTTGGCGTGTACGATGTATTTTTCTACCTGATCACAAACATTTAAAAGAAACATGAGTTGTGCCCCTTTTATACATGTTGTCCCGAGGATGGTCTATTCTATTAATCTTATTTTAAACTCTTGACAACAACCCCTCTTCTGGACAATAGCGGCCACTAAAGTGCAACTGTCGAAAATGTCTTCTCGACAACAACCATTAAATCACCGACTGAGGAGAAGTTAAGCGCACGGTGAAGATAAAAATGTTCCAAGCTTTTCACCACCACTGCTTCCGTAGATCAGCTACTTTTGACGAAAAAAAATAATTCCCCCTTCCCTTAAAGCGGACATTATGGGAAAGTCCCACAACATGTGAGTTTTTACTTTTTTGTGTTTGTGTTTTTTAAGTCTTTTTGATGATAAAGGCCTTAATTGCTAACAATTCATAACAATTACCTCGTCTCGATGTATTCCCTCGCCATCTACACCATTGATGGAGCAGATGAATGCGGAGGCCTCCAAAAGGTACGCCTTTGCTTTTTCATTTATGATGGGGGATTCATAAGTCCCTGGGATGTCAACTATAACAATCCCTTCCTGAAAGAGATAATATAACAATGAGTACATAAACAAAATCTAGTCAATCGATTTTAATCCCAAAGATTTTGCCTTGTAAAAGGGAAGTAGACAGGGAATTAAATAAACAACGACGTCGATGATGTATCTCTACGCATTTGAAGCCTCCTGGTCACTTTTTGCGGACTACATAAATGGAAAAAAAGGTTGGCTGAAAGGATGGAGGAATACATGGAAAGAGTGATGAATGGATACATCGGTGATCTGGTTTTGCAGTTTTTCCCTTCTTCAAGGCAAGACCGATCGTAGAGAGGTTCAGAGATCAATACTCGAGCTCCCAAAGCCACCATCAAACGCCTACTACTTACGCCTACCCGTATTTCCTCGAATAAGCGTCTATCCCTTGGGCCATAGTGTCAAACCAGCGCCCATCTCAAATAAGCGTCCCCCGTCCTTCCTCAATTTGTAAATAGTAGGGATACGAGGAAAACCCGTATCTATCGTCACTTTAATTATAATTCTTCAAGCTTTAATTGCAGCGAATCAGCACATGATAATAATTTCTTAGCCGTTCCAATTATTTCTATCTCCATTTGTTTGCAGAGTTCCTTTATGTGCGTCATCTGTACTTTTATTTTTGTCGTTTTTCTGCCCTAATTTAAAACCCCCCCTTCCTTCCTCGATCAAGTCCCCTTCTTCTAATATGCACTCCTCCCCTCAAAGGAGGACATACGATAGGTTAATTTATGCATAGCATGTGGTTATCCTAATCAAATGATTCAACTCAAAAACTATAGCTTGTATGCGGCTGGCTAGTTATTTCACAGGCATGCCATGAGCGACAGCAAATTTATTTAAATCTTTCGATTGAGCACTATATATGTGACTGGTCAATGTACTTCAGACACGGAACACAATTTCCGTTCCTTCATCACCTACCTTCAGAAGTTTGTGAGGCAAAAATAGTTCGATCTTTTCGTAGCGTGGATCCTCAGTCGAATTCTCCCCACCAATACCTTTGAAAATAGTGGATAGGAGCTGTTGCAGACAACCTCGCTGCAAAGTTCCAAGTGACTCACTCTGGAAGAGAATTTCTGTGGAAACTTTTGTGTCAGAATGTTCGTGCGCAACAAGCTTGGGTTCAGTTCCATATTTTAGTTCAAAGACGGTGGACGAGGTGCTAACAACGAAACAAGGAAAAAGCTGTTCGTCGATGATCAGATTCAGTAGGTTGCTTTTTTCCAAACATCTCTCACCTACGAAAATATAAGTAGATTAATTTCCCTTACTGTTTGGGTGTAAGACATTTCTAACCTCCCTTTGATTTCTTTTGCTGTTAATAATGGTATAATTGAACTTTGGAGTGCAATTTGGTCCGAAATCATATGTATAATTTCAAAATTAAACGGGTTTGAATTGACTCGAAATAACAAGTTTCATTTCAGACCAAAATTGCACGACACGACGTTCAATAACCACTTTATTACATCCATTTTGAAATCGCAAAATACAGGATTTTTTAGTCTATACAAATGCTGTGTTGATCCATAAGTCAGTTGGCTTGTAGAAAATTGCAAAAGTTGTTTTTCATTTTCCTGCAATTTGATTGGTTTCTTTAAACAAGCGATTAGTCGTTGTAAAGCTTCCTCGTTGGCTGGGAAAAAGATGCGATTTAAAGCAAAATACATCACGATTAGTGAATAAATTGCACCAATGAGAGCCAATCAGATTACAAGGATCACCAGTGATTTTAAAATGGATGTAATAAATGTAAGAGTTATCTAACTATTGTTAAGCAGATCTGATTACTCTGCTAGAGATTAGTGGTTTTCACAATAAGTCTTGATACCCATGATATTCTTCTAACTTAAAGCCTAAGCCTCGTAGATTCTCCTACGATCAATGTCAGTATCTAAGTAACAGCGCACCTACCCCTCCCCCAACCCAATAACAGTCATTTGATAGCGCACCTACCCCTTCCCTAACCCAACAACAGTCCACTGATAACAAGTCAGGGTTAACGTTAGGTCAGGGGAGGGGTAGGGAACCAGGTGACATTAATCCTTCACCTCTCCTTTGCCAGTATTTTAATATATGATTGCTTGCTTGTTGCTTCAAATTAAATTTGTTGCAAATATGTGCAAGTAGATATATCTACAGTTGAACTTGCAGAAAATTTCAGTCCATAAGTCGATAAGTGATAATTGAAAATTGAAACAAACTATATATAATCCAAGATAGATATAATCTCCCGTTAATAATCTTCTGGTAAATGAGCAAGAAAAATTGGAAAGTAAAATAAACAACAGAGGTAATATAAACTGAAGGGAATTTAAATACCGTTGACAATTTGATATGTTGTCTATCACAAACCTGTAACGAGCACGATGTGTTCTTTCTTCTTAAGATTCCGTTTGTGGGAAACGATTTTGTCCCTGAGATCTGCAATGTCCTGTTCCAAAAGGGCACGAACCTTTTCATCCGTAGAGTTTAAACAATCTTGCGAACTCTCGTAATAATCGTACAGCTCCTCTTGTTTTCTTTTGATGTCCGTCTTGGCCTCTGAAAACGTAGAAAACTCCTGGAAAACGCATCAGAATAAAGATCAACGCGTTTTCACACTGATTGGTATGATTATCTGCAGTTAGTATTAAACATTCTTCAGGGCGTATGATTCGCTTGCATTCGAAACTTCAGCTTTATAATTTTTGTAAGGTGTTGATTACGTCTGCCCAGAATGTCAAAGAGTCTGTCGCCCTCGAATAAACTTGATCATGCAGCCACCGTAGAAAGCACTCCAGTGGCGATCAGTAACTACCAGAGAGAACAGAAATCTGTCGAAATCGACGGCTGAATTCATCATCATGGTTGCCAATTCACTTTATAAACTCAGTTGATACATGTATCAATGCAGTTACTGCGTCACGAAATAATCTCCTATCTAAAAGGAGAACCGCTGCTAGACTAACGCCACCGTCATCACACATACTGTTCTAGTTTTGTCAAAAATTTATCTTAGAAAAGCACTCGTCTTAACAAGAACAATTCGTTTTGTTTTTCTGGATCATCGCGAAACGTTCGTCATTCATTCACGGAAATGATGCCGAATGAGCTTTTCCGAGAAAGTGGTTAACTGCCTCTAATTATATTTTTCCAACTTTAACTTGGAGTTCATCTTTTAATGAAGTTTTCAAAGAAACCCAAGAAATTGAAAGGAAAAGATCAAATTCCTCATTGCATTTGCGAATATTTTTTTTTGGATGAAGGCGATCAAAGTTCTGCTCGGTGTTTATTTATAAATTTCGCATTTGACTGCCTTGAAATGTGATCATCAAATTTCATGACACATTTGAACTATGGATTAAGTCTGAAGAACAACAGAAAGCTCAATCTTTCAACGTTTATCTCGCAACGTTACTATGTTCACGTGAAATCCTTTGTTAATTTTATAATATCCAAAATAATAACACAAAGATACATTACCTAGCAATATGAAGAAAAGTGTCTCAGGGGTTTGTTTGAAGTTCGAACTATGTTTGGTGGTCGCCAATTAATCAAATTATTATTCGAAGAAAACCCAGTCTTGTAGTACACTGCCACTCATCTATAAAATATTACTGTAACTAAGCTCGCACACTAAGGAAAATGTTCAGTAAGACATAAGAGGTGGTCGGAACCAGTCAGCCAGGGATAAATTTGATACTTCCGCCATAGTATTTATAATCCTGTCTCAAAACATTACGCCCCGAATTTTCACATTTCGTATTTATATTTACCTCTTTTTTCACACAATAGGGGTTTTCCTTAGACATTCGCGATGCTTTTTTTTTGCTCTTTTACTTACCATTTCATTCGGTGCTCGTAGTCCTGTGTGAGCTTAGATCTGTTGGAAGATATTCGCTGATTCTGTCTCTTGACCGTGTGTCGACACGTTCAGGTGGAAACGTAAATTACGTAAACTACACTTCATAGAGATTTAAAACGATCCTGAGAACCGGGAGAAGCTGAAGTAGCTTGCACTGCCCTCTTTGCTCTATTTTCAGATGCCGTGGTGGCTGTGTTTACAGCCGGTTCTGAAGTCCTTTGTCCCCTGCAACTACGAGTTCCCTAATAGATATCCGCTGAACGCAATGAGTGTAGGCACAAATCGTCCTTCAATTGCTTGGTTTTTTTTTGGAGCCTAATCCTGACGCAAGCAAATCTGGAGAAGGTTGCACATTAATAAGATATGTTTTGCTCGTGCGAACATCTCTCCAAAGACGACATGAAGCGAAGCTCGAGGAAAACTGCATGTGAATTTCGAGGGACGGATAAAACACGAACTTATTTCCAAGCCAATTAGAGGCTATTTTGTTTATCATACTTCAGATGCATATGTATTCCTTCCAGTGCATGGAACCGTAATTTTACGACCAGCTTACCGCCGAAAATGACGTTGACTTTTCAGAGCGACTTTGTGAACGAATTTGATGGTCCCCTCTAGTCCTTCGTCTTTAATTTATCTGTGATAGTGGCAAACAATCTTCCTGCATGAAGACAATTTCACAGGTAGACCCTTGTCACACTAAATGTGGGGTTGAATAATTGATGAATATTATTCAGGGAATATCTACGGATATAACGTAGTTTTAACTGAGGGATATTCGCTCACGTGATGCATTTAACATACACTGCTCAGAGCAAAAATTCTTGAAGGACTCGGAAAACAAAACACATGACAAATTCAAACTGAAACTTAGTTCATCATGGCTACGTCAAAAACTAATTTTGTGGGGGTACTTCTGGTTTAGTTTGGGCCTCTACGTTTCACTACCTGTGGTAAAGATCTGTTGTTGCAACCTTTTACCGTTGTTATAGTTACGGTGCTTTGACCAGAACTTCTTAACCCGTTAACTTCCGGGAGTGACCAAGACAGAATTTCTCCTTACAATATTAATACAATATCAAACGGATGAGTGATGAGAATGGAGAAAAATATCAATTTGGAGATAATTAGTTGATCCAATACTAAATTCTTAGAACTAACATTATAAGAATTGCATGGTTGATAGTAAGGAGAATTTCAAATTTGATCTGGGAGTTATAGGGTTAAGGGAAGGCCAACAAGCTTTGATAGTCAGACAAAAACAGCGGAATACAGCACATAAACTATATAGTAAGTTGAGTTCCTTTAATTTCTTTCTCCTTACATCTGCAAATGTAAAATCATGCTAGAAAGATGTGAGTAAGAACAGTGCACATTTCAAGGCATCTTATCGAAGGGAACTGATATCGCAGTCATATTGTATAATCTGTCGGAGTTACATAGGAGGAAGGTGAGTCTTTGTACCCATGATCCTTTAAAAACACCTTTGACCTAAACTAAGTGCTGGAACATTTTCTACATCACTCTTGCACATTGTTTACGGGGTGTGCAATTGTAAGCTTGACGCATTCCCAAAACAATTCATCACAACCACGGTCACTCGTTGAATGAGAGGTCTTCTACTGTTCTTGAAGATTTTGTTCTAGACCATGAATTGTTGGGAAACTTTCATAGAGGCAAATATTTATAGGAACAGCTGGCTAGACTGTCCACTTTAGGCATCTTGTGTCCTGGTGTGTTCCCAGACACTTCACGCAACAGTATCTTGATCCACAGGACACACAAGTGTAATTTGAGGGAAATGTGAAGGATAGTCAAGGTTCATCTTTCATTTAATGGGAAGTTTTATTTTCCTCTGCACCCCCCTAAAGATGGTAAGAACCCAAACAGCTGATCTTGTTGTCAGAACAATGGAAAAAAATTGTTCTAAGGAAGCACATTTCATAGGCTTCTTTGAAAAAAAAAAAACCAAGCCTAACTAAATAAACCTCACTATCTTTTTATTGTGCATAGCTTGAAAGTCCAGGGTATTAACCTTCTCTCATTTTTTTCAACCCTTTCCAAAGTGCTTAAAGTTACTGACTGTTTTAGTTTTCTTTGCACCCATAAGTTGGGTAGCATAACTTGAAAAGGACCATCAGAGAGTTGGTTACAGTGTAAGGATAGTTTCTGTACAGTTTCATAGAAGGATAATGCTGAAGGTAAGAATACCATATTTCCTTGAATAGGTGCCCATGCCCTAATAAGCACCCTCGCCTGAATAATCACCCACCCCATTAGCCATTGTGACAAACAATTGCCCCTCTAAAATAAGGTTCCCCCCCTCCCTAATTTTCATAAAATAGTAGGGATATGAGAAAACCTGCTTCTATTGCCACTTTATTTATGACTATTTAAGCTTCAACTACAGTAGAATCAGCCCAAGAGAAAAACAAGTGCCTTGCACTATATAGCACCCTTCTTCCAATAAGCTCTCCTTTTGACAAAAATTTTAAATAAGCACTCAGGCCCTTATTCATGGAAATACAGTAATTCAAAAAAAGGGTACTAAAACATGAGCAACAATTTTAAAAAAAGGATATCCACACACAGCACAGAAGTGTCTCTCTGGGAATTTTGAGGGAGGTACCTTGGCTGAGGTATACGAGGGTTCACCAGCTTCTGCTTCTTGTTGCTACCAAAAAATTCAAACAAACAAGCCAGCAAACACTGAAAAATTAACAACAATGACATAACAACAAACATCTTAACCCTTTGACCTTAAAGAGTGACAAGCATCTAATTTCTCCTCACAATGTCACCCCTTAATCCAACATTTTGGTCTCAAGGAATAAAGGAAATGATCACAGACTAAATAAACTCCCGATTGTCAAACAAACTCTCCTAGTTAGCACCTTTGAAAATGCATAGAGAACAGTATGGAGCATATGCATACTGATGTTAGGGTGTAAAGGATTAACAGAAAATTTACAAACTAGAGGGAAATGGAAGAAATGGAAGTTATGTGTACATGCTGTCTACAAGAAGAATAAAATTATAGTAATTACATTTATGATGCTAATCCATTTTCTTAAGCCTATTCTAGCTCTCAATCAGAATAAAAATTGTTACAAAAAACTCACTGCCTCCTCCAAAAGCATGGCAAATGTTCTTCGAAATCTCTGGGGGAACAAACAACAAAAACAGCAACTATCGCACACAATTGTCGATTATTTTCCACGTATCAATAACTCAAAATAATTTTCTATTTCAATTTTTCACAGTTTTCCACCTGGGAAGCATACCCTCATATCCGCCATATCCAAGAAAGGTGATGCTCAGGGCGTCACAATTGGAGATTATGCGGTTCAAAATCTCACTCTTCATCAGCAAATCAATTTGAGAGCTCAGGTGCTAATTTAAATGCGGTGTAACTTCTGAACTTATCATTGTTTCCTCAGTATGAAGTAACTAGGAGCACTGCTGTTCCTACAGAAAAGGATACCGGCCCACTTAAGGCTTCGCCTCATCTCTCTCTCCCCTCCCTATTTGAAACATTTCATTAAAGTCCCTGCTTAAGAGCTCAATGAGTGGGAAAGTTAGCTCCACTACCTACGAAAACATTACCACAACCTCAAATTTCTACACACCTGTTTAAACAACTCTCCTGTTTTGGATTTCCTCTTCTTCCTTTTATCTATAGGATGAACCATATAGGCCACATGTCAAACAATTTTCCACATATGTGAAGATCTTGCTTCAAAGAATTACCTTCCATGGTGTCGTTAAAAGCCGGAACTTTCATTTTGGCAGGGACTATCGTCAGGTGAGCGTGAGGATCATCTTGAACGTTGTCTTTCTCTAAGGCCTCAAGCTGTCTTTTCTGGCGTCTTTTCCGGGTTTCATTATCCAAAATTTTTCTGCTAGATATGTCTTTGATTCTCCCTGTTTGATAATCAACAACCAACATTTAAGAAAAGTTCTATTGTCACAAAAAGTACTAAAAGATATCACACCTGACTCTCGACGGTCCGCCATCTTGGAACATGGGATCACTTGTACCTAGTTCTACGCGGTTAGCCTTATACGCCTGGCAGAAATTGTCTTAATGGCGTCCACAAGCACGGTTCAGCACAAAGTTACGAGGGAAAATTGGTTGGAAGCGCATCCAAAATTCAAAGAAATACAATCGTATGGATTTTATAACGAAAAGATACCGCTAGCAAGAGCTGCTATCGGTGTGTACATGGACTTATGTGAAAGCAAGCACTGGTTTAAGGTTTGCATTCATCCTTGCGAGTCTTTGAAGTTAGTGTACATAACTGGAAAGCGGACCAAGAAATCCCAGTTTGATGTTGTAGTTCCGCTTACGATAGATACAACATTAACAACAGAGGAAATTCATGATATTATTCAGGAAGTTAATCTGTGCGAAGAAGAAACTGAGGAAGGGGCAGATGCATGTCGTAGTCGCGTGAGCTCCAAAGTAACAATGGCTTTCTATGAGGCTGATTCCACCATTGTCTATTACGACTTTTCTCAAGGACTTGTTCCACCGGATCCACCAACTGAAGAAGAGGAAGTGAAACCGAAACGTAAAAGAACAAGACCGAAGAAAGGCAAGAAAACATCTTCATGAAATCGCATAAAAACAAGGAGCAGTTCGTTCGATAGCGAACATAGAAATATGTTCTCCACAACGCTTCGGTACTAGCGCTCTTGAAAACCATTAATACTCTATTAAGCTTCTCAGGAGCTGATATTGTAAAGAGAAATTACTCATTGGTCACTTCCAGGGATGAATATAGAAGCTGATCAGTGCTCTAAAAGCAGTATTCCTTTTTAATTCATAGGAATAGAGGATTGAATTTGACACAATCTTCGCTACACCTTAGACCAAAAAGCTCTGTTTTTTCTCCTTTTCCTCTCAACAATTGGTGTCCTTTTCTTGCCTTTTTAACAGTAAGTTCTGCTAAAGTTGTGATCTTAAGATTTTGTTTTGCAAAAATACTTGGCTGTAAGAAGCACCCCAATTTCAGTACTAACTCTCCAACCAAAGACAGAATTTTCTCAAAAAAACGGTGCGCCTTATAACCAAGAAACTATGGTAATGACCCTTTCACTCCTGGAAGTGATTAATGTGGGATTGAGTTATTTCTCTCTACAATATCAACACAATATCAAGCAGGTGTGGGCAGTCAGAGGAATAAGAAGGAGAACCAAGGTACACCTGTTCAAGACTTTAGTCCTACCGGTCCTGATATGTGGTTGTGAAACAAGGAAGATCACAAAGGCCAATGAAAGAAAACTGAACAGTTTCCAATGCCAATGCTTAAGATGGATACTGAGGATTAGATGGCAGCAAAGAATGAAAAACAATAGAATGGTAGAAATAAATGAAATTAGCTGTGAGGTGCAAAGAAGAAGGTGGAGCTGGTCAGGACACATACTCAGGAGAGAGGGTGTGAACAACTGTTTTATGGCATTGGGGTGGACAGCAGAAGGTCGAAAGGTGAGAGAGAGACCAAAGACCACTTGGAGAGGGACTTTCGCAAGAGAGAGAGGCAAGGCAGGGTGGAAGAGCTGAGATGTGGCCAAGGTGGCAACAGGCAACAAGGGGGGTTGGGTGGACAATGTGATGGCCTTATGCACCTACTGGCACACCAAGCAATGATTATTATGATGATCATGATCAAGCAGACTGTTGATGAGATTGAAGAAAAATATGAAAAAGGGATTAGCATTTGATTCTTAAGTCTCAGAATTTACCAAAGGAAAAATTTATGGCAGATAACAAGGATAATTCCTTTTGAGATTGAGGGAGCACAGGCAACCCAAGCTTGATACATTTGTAAGGGGATTTAGATTATGCCATATCTTTACCTGTATTGGAATAAAAGTTGCTTGACAAACATGTTGTGTCATTCTGTTGATTTGTGACTCCTGTGTGTAATTTAGAGAGGTATTAATGGAAAGTACTCACTCCTTCTATTTAAGTGTAGTGAGTACTTTCAGTTAATATCTCGCTATAGAACACACAGGAGTCACAAATCAACAAATGACACAACAGGTAAGTCAAGCAATTTTTATGCAACACATATTCAGTTTTATTTTTGGCTCATGAAAATTAATATTTCCAATCATCCAGACTCTCAGTTATCCAGACCATTTAACCCAGTCCCCATAAGTCTAGATAGTCCAGGTTCAACTGTAACTTGAAAGCTTTTTAGCATTCTGTTACAGATCCTACATGTTCTGATTGGTGACCACACTTCCTAACAACTTTCCAGTATAATTCATACAGTAAATGGTGAGTCAAAAAATATATTTGTCACCAATGTATAGATGTACTGTGTAAGAATTGTTGAAAACGTTTACTTTTCCCAAAAAATAATACACCAAGAATCTAACAAAACCAAAAGGAAGGCTTGGCCTTCACTTCTGTTGGCTTTTACAGATGACTTAAAACTACAGTATCTACCAATACAAATCTCAAGTTTATCTTCTTATTAAGGAATAAAATAATCTTACAGTCAGAGTTAAATTAACCACATCCCTACAAGTGCTATATGGAAGTAGTATTTTCACTATAGAAAAACATAAATTATGTGCTAATTTATAATACTTGTTGAGCTTACAGTGTATCCAACCTAGAAAAATGTTACCAATTATCATCTTACAATTTACAGGTGCATTTTCTTCCTCATGAAAATCATTACAAAAAAGACCACATGGCTGCCCTTATGTCTGTGTCTTAATGAAATTGAGGCAGACTAATACATTTTCCCAGATTGATACTGGCCAGAGTAGCCTGATGCTTGAAGTGACTGCTGCACTGGTCCTGTTTGGTAATAGTTTGTCTGCTGTTTTTGCTGCCGAGTGTTGTAATACTGGGTATCTTGGGGCTGTGTATTATATTGCACTGGATTCTGTGGTGAAGCTTGTTCAATTTCTTGCAATCTTCTCTGCCGCACAAGAGTCTGCAAGTCCTTAAAATGACGTCTTGTGATTTCTCCTAAGTCATCAAAGACTGTATAAGAAAGAGAAGTTAAGTGGTCAAACATTGGTTATTTATTTTAAGTGACAGCTATAAGCAATACCACTGACATTAACTATTGTAAAATACTTAGACAAGTACAAACTGTGCATTTCCAATGTCAGCCAGTTTTACACCACAAACTAAATTTGGATGAATAAAGACAAAGAAAAGTGTGAAGCAGTTTAAGATAAATTATTTATAAACCATACAGATTTGAATATGGTAGATGTCTGATGACATGGGAAGTACTCGACTGATTTTATAATTGTCAGACTTTCCATGTTAAGTGGGTGGAATAGTCAGTGGTTAAATGTGAGCAAATAATGGATAAATGATCCTTACTTCCTTCATTTGAGCATGGTGTATACACCACAAGGGCTTGGCAGATCAGCACTTCAGAATTATATTGTAATCCATTAGGTGATTCACTTAACAAATAGATTCTATGGTGCTGTGTGTTTGTACAATTATAATAGATCACAGATAACATCAAAATATGGTACAAACAAAAAAGTGCACTTTTTGTTTCACTTATGTTTTTACCATATTTTGGCTTCTTCTCTGAACTATGACTGTACAGACCCACAGTAACGTGGAATCTTTTTGTCTTACATGTTAACAAAAAAAAGAATGGTGATGTTGTCCATGCCTCTGTCCCCCAACAGACCACAAGAACCACTCAAGATGTGTGTAGGATTCAGCTTATTATACAACTTTGATAGCTGCTTTTGTCCTTTATTAGCAACTCTGGTAATCTCTATTGAGTCAGTCCTAGACTTTTGAAACTTATGTAATTATCAAGAAACACATATGATGAATCTTCTCCATTCCTCACCTCTGGCATTGTATGCATGGTCACCAGATGCGACAACCTTCTGCAAGAAATGAGCCATGGCACCAGTTGCAATGACTCTTTGAACCAATGGCAGACCTTCAAAATACTTGAAATCAATGGCAAATGGGTTGAGAGGAGCTGGGTACATACACAGCTTTACAATCTCAGCGATAATGTCCCAGAGTTTGCTGTCTGATTAAGAAAAATAAACTTTATGTGAGGACGTATGTATGTGTACTTAATGACTACCTGTTAGACACACAACTCGAAATTTAAATTATCTAACTAAAATTAACCCTTTAACTCCTAGGAGTGACTAGCATCTGACTTCTCCTTACAACATCACCACTGAATCACATATTACTATCATGAGAATAAAGGAAATGATCAGCAAGTGAAGAAACTCTTGATTGTTAGACAAATTCTCCTTGTCAGAACCTTAGTAAATGTAGAGAAAACAGTATGGAGAATATGAATACTGATGTTCAGGTGTAAAGGGTTAATGTATAACTCTGACATAAAAACTTCACTCAGTTGTCTATCCTTGAATAGGTAAAATATATGAGACCAAATTATTCGAAAGATACATGTCTGTGATTTTTGTTTTGTTCTTGCTGCAGTCAGTACCACCATGATGTATTTGCCATAAATCACACATTCCTTAAAATGTTGAGACATTCTCTACATTCTTATTGGTTACAAACATGCAGCTTATTCTTGCTGGCAATGTTTCCATTGCATCAAAACTAAAGACAATTATAATAATTATCGCCATAGCTAACACTGATAGATCTTAAACATATATGTGAATTATTGATTCAACTCTGTCAAGAGAACTGAGATCTATCTAGGCCTTTGGCTTCCATCAAAATTTTCCTAACTTCATTTAGTTCATTTACAATTTACTGTTACAGTAATGAGCAAGTTGATGTCTTGTATGACAGTGGGTGAACATATACTGTGCTCTATGACCAACATACAGCTATACCTCTCTGTTTCCATTCTGCTGTGGACTTAAGTTTCAATGGACTATCCTTCAGTTTTTCTTTGCCAGAATCATTAGAAAGTGCCACTAGTCTCTCATGGTTTGATCTTACCTACAACATAAAGCATGTATTTTGGGAAATTTTTTCAATCTCATGATTACTAGATGCAAGCAAGCAAAATCCTTTGCTCTAACCAAGCAGACAAAATGGACTCATCTTGCCTGCTTTAGATTGTTAAACCCACAGGCTTACCATTTTCTGCTTCTACATGTGGTTGTCTTTAAAGTTAAATGGCCAATATTGTTGTGAATTTTGAATGACCTCTCTAAAGATACAATACTTAAGGTTTTCAAAAAAATCAAAATGGAGTAAATGTGTTCAGAAATATGAATGTGATGTCTAACTTTTTTTTTCGTATTTCTTTAGTTTATTTGAAGCCTACAAGAGTGATATTTGCAAACTTGAAAGTTTAACTCACTCAGAAATAGAGAGAATCTTAGAAAGAAAACAAACCAAACAAACAATACTGTAGTTTGACATTTGTAAGCCTCCACTCACCCACACATATGGACAGCTGTACCGAGCATAAGCAGCAATAAGGAATAAGGTTGATTTGTCATCCTAAAATAATAATAAAAAGGTACTTGATGCAAATTAATCCTAATTGATAATTAAGTATCTGATCCTTCAACGAAGAGGTTATTAATTATTTCATTCTTTATACTGGATTCTTGTGGTAGAATGACATTCCAGTTTGTCATTTGCAATGCTGATAACTGACTTTTAACCATTAAAAATCTAAATGTACACCCTATCAACCATTAATTTGATTCTTATTAACTTGACGAAAGTTAGGCAAATATTCAGGTGATATTTTTCTAATGTGACTTTAGACTGAGATAACCTAACCATTTACCTAGCTAGCTTTCATGACAGCCAGTTAAAAGGTGGAAAAGGTGTTTTGGACATTGACTCTCTAACTCACAAGATCACTTCTTTGTCTTGTAATATATGTTGAAGTATATTAATATACCATATACCTTTAAATCAATATCTTTTTCACTAGGACTCGCTGGTGGTAAACCGATATCCATGAAACCATATCCACTTAAACTATACAAAGAGCAACAGAAATGACATTATTGTTATTTGTAGGCTGCCAAAGCAAAACTTGCACAAGCCATGCACTCATACTAACATGTTATTTGTACATAGAGTTTGACAGTCTGAGCCGCATTGTTCAAAGCTGGGTTAAGATAACCAAGGGTTTGTGTGAAATCTGATTTCAGATCTGAAAGCTTTAAAAAAAGATTAAGTACAATTCATTTAGTCTACAAAGTGATGATTGGATACCCTTTAAAGAATGAAGAAAATTATACGAGGAAGGCTTTGGAACAAAGGGATAAAGAAACCCAGGTTAAAATTTAACCCTGGGTTAATGTTAATCAGCCTTTGAACAACTGAGTCCTGCTGATTGGTATAATTATATATTAGTGAGACTGATTATTGTGAGACTCAAAAATTGATTTATTGTAACTAAGAGAAGTTATTTTGTATCTTGAACCTCTACATATGATGGAGAAAACAGGTGAATTTGAGAAACCATATACAAACAACTTCCAGCTAAAGGGTGTTTTCTAATTTCACAAAACTAAACATGTACTTGCCCATTAAGCAATAGTTTAATATGCTCTTGTACAAAAAGCAATTTAGAAGGTTATTCTAAATAGTTAGAAGAGGGAATCATTTAGCAGAGCTAAAGGTTAGTTTAAGTTAATTGAAATAAATATTCCTAGAATGAGCAATAAATTTGTTAAGCATCTGAGTGTTACCTAGAATAAATTTTGAAATTTGAAAGATATTCAATTAAGAGGCACATCTAGAACTGTTACAAAAAAAGCAAAGAGTGAATTAATGAGCTTTTGTTACCTTTTTTGAGTGTTTGCAGACATGATTAAGGATTGTCTATAAAGAAGAATGGAATGTCTGACTTGGAGAATAGATTTCAAAAAATTAAGTCTTTAAAATTTTAAAAAATTCAATTTTATTCAAGAGATTTATTCAGTCTCTCATTCAACAAAGATGATCCATATTTTCAAACAAAACTTAATAAAATCACAAATATTACAGCACAATAAACTTTGATACTTACTCATTCCTTGGTAAGCTGGTCTGGTTGTCAAATTTAAAACTTAGAGTTCCTTTTCTCATCTTTTCAGAAGAAGGCAAACAAATCTTAATCGAATCACAAATATTATAGCATCATCCTAACCTTGGATACTTACTCATTCCTTGGTAAACTGGCCTGGTCGTCAAATGTAAAACTTAGCGTTCCTTTTCTCGTCTTTTCAGAAGAAGGTGAAGTATAGTATGACCAGATTTCTGGAGACTTAAAGAAGTTGACAGCAAAAATAAAATTGATCAGCATTGAGGTTCTACATGACCAAAATAAAAATACTCAAAAGGAGTAAGCAAGACAAAAAACATAGTGTTCTATTTTGCACTTTTAATTACCTCGTATATTATTAATATTATTCCCCTGAATGACTTTTTGCCAATTGAGAACATTAATATAACATACAGTTTTAGGTTAACTTCAAGAACTTTTGTCAGCTTTTAAGTGGAAGAGAACAATGGACTTGGATCATGGGGAGAATAGGCAGCGGGGGATCAGACGATGAGAGGACAGTGAAGATAATGGGAAAGATTGCATAAAAATTATTTCATCATGTGTATTAGCAGTCTGAACTAATAT